CAATCACAGTGCACTGGGTCAGCTGGCCAATCAGAGCAGACTGCGCTTGTCGGAAGGAGGGACTTTGTAGAAAACGAAGCGTTTGAGAGAGGCGGGGCATATAGGACCTACAATAATGTACAGTATTTGAAAAATAATGTGTTTTTTGAACATTAAAGCATGTCAACATATTCTGTTACACCACAAAATAATGATATTTAAAAAAGTATCATATGACCCCTTTAAGTACATCTTTATGTGTATTTATATGTAATTATTTATTTTATCTTTGGTTAGAGTTGAATGTAATGTCAAGCATTTATGATAAACTAAAATATACTTGAATGTCATTTCTATTGAAATGTGTATGTTGTGTATTTAAATATATTTCTGTCATGACAACTCTCGGAGGGATTGGCATGGTAATGTACATGACAATGTTAATGTATTTGGTCTTGGAATAGATCTGCTAAGCTGCTGCTGCTGTGAGCATGTAAGAAATATTACTGCTACGGCAAGCACTAGTCATATATTTGAATGTTGAGCAGCGAGCTCATTGGCTACCGATACAGGAGAGAACCAATCAGCTGTGCCATGTGATGATGATGTCATTAGGTCAGATTGAGTTAGACCTATCGGACTGCGCCATCTAGAGTTTCATGCCAGAACTCTGTATTTGTACACATTTGTAATGATGAGGTTACATTTTATTAAAAATATTACCTTTAAATATAATCTCAAATAATACACTATGGTTAAAAATAAAATCAAATACTTTACAAGTGCTTTAGTATGTTAGTCAACACAACAAATTAAGTAAACTTGAAGCACAACAAAACATTTGAAAGTGTACTTAAGTGTGTTAAGAAATATAGACATGACAGTTTCTCTCTTTAAGTAGGCCTACCATTAAGTGGCCTATTATTTCATGAATATTATATTATCTGCAAGTACATTTTTAAAAAATATACTTTTATGATTTTAGGTACACTATAAGTTCGCATTCAATACAATTAAGCACACTTCTTTTTCACAAAGGTTTGGATTTGGAGAAGTGTACTGAGGTCCTTGGTCCCCACTCTTGTCTTGGCACCAAAATATCATAGAAACATGGGAGTGGGCTATTTTGATTAGCGTATTGAAAAGTGACCAATCCAACATCCTTGCAGAGAGTTTGTTACCAGCAAAAAACACTATAATTTGCTTCTATTCAGTGCAAAGACGGTCTGTAAGCAATTGGAAAGATGAACAAACACTACAAGTATCAGCTACAACTGACTAACAACTAACAAAAAGCCTCGCATTGATTACAGTTGTGCTTGTCATTTAAGCATCACTGATCAATGTAATGATTGATTTGCTTATGTAACACACATGTAAACAAACCAATTCAATGCAAATCAGCAAGTGCCTATGTAAGCAGTCAATAATGCTTGTCTGAGAGCAACAGGTTCCCATAACACTGAGATTATCTTCTGAATAGGATTCCCCTTTTTTGTTTGGGTAAATTTTTGCCCTAGTCAAAAATGACGTAGGTCTATAGAATAATCACAACACGTTCTTGTTTTGGCAAAATAAATAAATAACTTGTTTTACAACAGGACATTATTTAAATTGTAAAGTATTTACACTTGTAATACTGTTTTTATGCTGATTTACATTAAACAAATTCCTTAAAAGTGTAACATTTATACACAATACGGTAAAATTTAAATATATTTAATTAATTTTTTCATATATAGGGTAATAATATCATAATGCAAACCTTAGGATTAATTTTCTTTATGTACCAAATTAATATTTTATTTGTAAGAATCACTCATAACCTAATGCTTTATAAATCATGCAAATAGACATAGATTTTGATAAAATTTTTAATATTAATAGATATATTTATATATCTTATTATTTGTAAATACATTTTTATATTTATTAGTACACACACACACACACACACACACACACACATATATATATATATATATATTTATATAGAATTGGATATATTTAGAAACAGAGTTACAGATGTTGGATGTGTTTCTGAGGTCACAGATTAGTTCAATGATTCACTGCTTTGTCTTTTCTACGTCCTTTTTCTCCTGAACTTGTTTGTGCGTTATCTCTTCTGACAGGACAAACACGCTCTTAACTCTGACGTTTTTTTTTTCTGTTCCACTCTGTGTTTTATTACACATGTGCAAGGTTCAAAGATCGTTTTGTCCATGCGTTGTGGTGGTGGGCCTGCTAGTATAAAAACCAAGGGTAGGCGCTGGAGGACTATCACTCTTGACTAGCTCTTCAACACACAGTGCCTTAGAGAAAGTCTAAACATGAATGCTGTGATGGATACATTGCATGGGTTTGGAGTGAGTAGCACCCAATACCTGCAGACCCATTACAAAGACGCCCAAGGATGGTTTCTTTTCGTCTCCTTCGCGGCAGATCTGAGGAACACCTTCTTTGTCTTCTTTCCCATCTGGTTCCATCTGAAAGAATCAGTCGGGATCAAGCTCATCTGGCTGGCTGTGATAGGAGACTGGCTCAATCTGGTCTTCAAATGGTAAGCAAAAGGACCAATAAAGACTTCACTGTCAAATTAAATCATGAATTTAATTTTAATGTTGTTCTATTCATCTATTTAAGGATCCTGTTTGGAGAACGTCCATACTGGTGGGTCCATGAGACTTCTTACTACATCAACAGCTCAGTGCCACATATTGAGCAGTATCCCATGACCTGTGAGACCGGCCCAGGTGCGTCTTTCTCCTCTAGAAGTACCATACTAATCCACTTAACACCAGTTTCATCATACATCAAAAGAGCACTTTGATCACATAGCTGCTTCTTGATGCAGGAAGCCCATCTGGTCATGCTATGGGCGCTGCTGGTGTTTACTACACATTGGTCACTTCAATCCTTGCCATAATGCTGAGCAAAGAGAAGAAAACTTCGTCTAAGAGCCTGTAAGTCAATCTTTATCACAATCAGGCCAGTTTCACACCGCTTTTGTTTCAAAATAGATAGTTGCTTCTGCAATATGTTTATGATGTACTAACTGTTTTTTAATCAGATACTTGCGTGGTTCACTTTGGACGCTCTTCTGGATGGTCCAGGTCTGTGTTTGTCTCTCTCGAGTCTTCATCGCCGCTCATTTCCCACATCAAGTTTTCGCAGGAGTTATTTCAGGTAAGCGGCTCAGAAAACCGTAATTTAAAATATGTTTTCTAATTTAATATATTTAAAAATGTAATTTATTGTTGTGATGCAAAGCTGAATTTTCAGCATCATCATTACTCCAGTCTTCAGTGTCACATGATTCTTCAGAAATCATTCTGATATGCTGATTTGCTGCTCAGGAAACATTTATTATTATCGATGTTTTACTGCTTAATATTTTTCTGGAGACCGTGATACACTACCATTCAAAAGTTTGGGGTAAGTAAGAAAAAATAAATAATTTTATTCAGCAATGATGCATTAAACTGATAAAAAGTGACAGTAAAGACATTTAATATTACAAAATATTTCTATTATTATTTTTTTTAAATGCTGTTCATTGAACTTTCTATTCATCAAAGAATCCTACAAAACATGCATCACAGTTACCACAAATATTAAGTAGCAAAACTTTTTTTTTTTTTTTTTAACAGACTATTTTGAGAACCATTATAAATTCATTAAAATTAATTCATTGAGCACCAGGAATAATTGACAATAACTGAGCAGCAAATCAGCAAATTAGAATGATTTCTGAAGGATC